CATCCCATCAAGGGGGGGATTGGTGATACTCTTAGTTGTTTCATGCAAAGGAAACCGGGATAAGCTCCTGCTGGCAGGGCCACTTGGCTCCAGTACAGTCTTAACCTTTTAACTTTCAAGGACTTATTTGCTTCCATCTATGTCCTCAGCTAAAAGAGGCTCACACATTGAGGTACATCTTCATGGAAAACTCAGGGCTGTGTTACGAGGTCACCGAGAAAGTTGTGCAACATATCGTTCACTGTGTTGAGACACAGGGCCGCCATGTTGAATATCTGAGAGCTTTACAAACCCTGGTGAAGGCGGAAGGACAGTCAATTAGAAAAACACAGGACATGGTTATGGCTGAGGTTAGTTTTTCTTTGGTTTGTGCTGCTTATATTTTAGTACGCTCAACTGAACTCTTTGTTAATGAGGCCGGTATACTGTACCGTAACTTCATTTTTAAAGGTTGTTTCTGAATGCTGACGTTGATTCGCTTTTTATCCCATTCAGAACGTTTCTGTCTCTTTTCGGACAGTTAGAATCGAGTTCGGAAGGTTGATGCAATTTCGGATGGATCCGTGCAATTTCGGGCGGATCCGTCTGATGTCGGCCGAGTATATTAAAACCTTAGCTATAATAACGTGGGCCAGGAACTCATTGGAAGTAAGGAGAATGCATCTAATAATCAATACTGTCTTTTTTTTTCTAGTTAGTAAACGTGGGTGAGGAGGTTTTGGTCTTCTACAGTGATCCTCAGTCCTTTAACTCACTTGTGGACATGATGCAGGGAGAACGAGAGAGACTGGACGAAGCTGGCCCTCTGTTGTATCATATCAACTTGGTGGAACTGCTGGCCTGTTGTACCGAGGGCAAAAACGTGTACACGGAAATCAAGTGTCACAGTTTACTTCCGCTGGATGATATCGTGCGAGTTGTCACTCATCCGGATTGCATCTCGGAGGTGAGAGAGACTGGGAATAATGTCGCCTGTAAGAGTTAGCGCGTCATACTTACGAGGTCCAGTAAGTGATTGAAAGTTTGTCCAAAGGTTTAGAAAACTCTGCAAGGTATCTCTTCCCCATGGTTGTTATCGGGACACTTTTTTGAGTCTTCGCCAACAGGCTTTCGCATTGTTTATAGTAAGTGATTTGGAACTTAAAGTTAATTTTTTTCTTTAGGTGAAGAATGCCTATGTAAACTTTTTGAATCATTGCTATGTTGACACGGAGGTGGAAATGAAGGAGATATACACCAGCAATCACATCTGGACTCTGTTTGAGGACTTTTTAGTCGACATGGCTCGGGTGAGCGCATAAAATAAATTGGGATGAAACAAAGGTGGGATCGTGGAAATCTCTGGGACGCTCGTTGGCTTCCCTCGTTCGTTTTCTGTGAACTGTAGTAGTAATTTGAGAAGATGAGAGTGATTTAACTTTATATTTAGCCTTTCCCTTGTTTGGGTAACAATTTGAAGGAGCTTTTGCGTTTTTTTTTTTTGGAATGGAGGGGTTTGTCTTTTCATTTGTTGGGTGTTTTTAAAGATTTGAGAGTAGATAGCGGATCAGAAGAAAAATTTGCCGATTGCGTATGTGAACTTAGAATGTAGGTCTAAAATCTATTTACGGCTGCTCTCGATTAGTATAGCATGGGATTCAACGGATGAATTGTGGCCTTTTTTTTACAAAGAGCATCTTATGAATAATTTGTAAAAAAAATAAATTATCTGAAATTTTATTTTATTTCTTCATGAACCCCACCCGGAACTCGGAGATGCTTTTGGTAAAAGGAGGGAGTTATGATTTTCATATTTAATAATTTAATTTCACCCTAACGCATGCTTATCAACGGTGTTTCCTCGTGGTATTCTATCATAAAATGACGGAAGGTGTACTTTTTTTTCTATTTCACAGGTTTGTAACAACACTTCTGACCGAAATCACACGGACACCATGTTAGAAAAATACGCTACAGAAACCATCATGAACTTGTTAACCTTTTTCTTCAATTCTCCTTTCTCCGACTCTAGTACAACAATAAAGGTACTTTGAATGGAAGTTCAATACTTTTTTCACTTATGAAACTTGTGATGGCGTCGCCCATCATAGAGTTTTCTGTAGAGCATAGCACCACTAGAATCCAGAGGTCTGGGGACTTGTCATTTTTCTTGGTTTGGTGAATGTTTGTTTCTCTTCTTCTTTTTCTTCTTTTTGTTCCTGGTCCGTTCCAAAAAAAGAGGATTTTTCTAGACCTTAAATCCTGTCAGCTATAACTTTTTAAGAGACTTCTCGCCTTGTTTTGAAGAAATTTGTATACTACTCCGTTTCGCAGTTCAAGATGCGAAGGTATTCAAGATACAGAAATGAGCAGCATTGGGTGATAGGTTTTCCTAAGCTGTTTGCGTTTTTTTTGTTTTTTTCAGTCTCGGCAACCCGTGTTCGTTCGTCTCCTCCGCGGTGCCTTCCGACTTTCACAGTGTTCATGGATGAGTGGCTCGCAGAAATACCACGTGGAGACTTGTATCAAGACCTTATCTGATGTTGGTGAGTGTGGAAGTTTTGTCCTTGACATCCTTAACTCTTTAACTCCCAAGATCTCATTTGTAATTCTTCTTATTGTCTGACATACAATTCTTATGATGTCAATTTGGAGAATTTGATTTTGGATCAGCAAATAATCCCCTAATTCATATTTTACTTTATTCTCATCACTTCTATGCTTGATATTGTATTGATATTGTGA